AGAATTTGTTTTTGGAGTCGATTTAACTTGATTTTGAATGATTTCCAAGTTAAAAAATATAAAAATCAATTTGAAAGTAAACTTACGGATTTACAAATACTAGGTAAGTATCTGCGCTTATGTGTAGGTTCATCTGTAAATATAATTTTTTTTTACTAATATTAGTTTAGTTCTGAAAACCAATTTGTGTGACTAAAAGTATGATAAACTCGACAAGATCACATACACTTTTTAGAATCAAAATCAGTATCTTGAATAATACCTGTTGATAGGGCCAAAAGCTCTCTAGTCTCTTGAATTTTTACTTTAAATTCAAACATGTTAGAATTCAAATACTCTAAGAATGTTAGCTGATCAATCAACATAAATATAACTGTTTACATTTAGTTTTTTTAAGTGGGAAAATATTTGATCTTGTCACATTGGTAGCGTATGATATTGGTTTAACGAGAGGTTTTTTAATTCGCGATGTGACATTGATTGTAAGATGTTTCGGTTATTTTTAGGGGTTAAAAGAGGTAGTGGAACGAAATATGAATTTTTTGTTTGTTTCTGGTATATAGATATTGGCCTTTTTCACTTTTTTGGATTTCCACATATGCTAGAGAAAGATAAAGAAAAAAAGGCAAGAGAATTTGAAATTAGAAGTCCATTGGCTTCACAGATTTTATTTTAATGATAATGTAATATTAACCGTTATATATTTTTTTAACTCTTTCAATTTTTTTTTGTGAGGCTATAATTCACACATAAAAATTCTTTAGATGAAAAAAAAACACCTAAGCATCTTTCAATTAGTTTGTATTAGTATCTCTACTATATCATAATCTCTAGTCAAATCCGGTAATTTTATGTGAATTATAACCACACAAAAATTAAAAGACATAAAAAAATATAATGGTGAATATTACATTATCACTGAAATAAAATCTGCGAAGCCTGGGCTTCCGATTTTAGATTCTCTTTTTTTTTATATCTTTATAGCGCGTACGTGTAAACCCAAAAGAGTGAAAAAGGTCAATCCATATACCTAAAAAAAAGAAAATTCATCTTTCGTTCTACTACAGATCTTACTCTCCAAAAATCACTGAAATATCTTACAATCAATGTCACGCCGCGAATTGAAAAACCTCTCGGGAGGCCAATATTATATGCTACAAATGCGACAAGATCAAACAGTTTTCTATTTAAAAAAAAACTAAATGTTTACAGTAAGATTTGTGGTGATTGACCAGCTAACACTCTTAATTAGAGTATTTGAATTCTAACACGTTTGAAGTTAAAGTGAAAATTCAAGTGATTAGGGAGCTTTTGGCCCTATCAATAGTCTTATTCAAGATAGTGATTTTGATTGTAAAAATTTAATGTCATCTTCTACCTCTATATCATGTGATTTTCTCATACTTTTAGTCACACAAATTGGTTATCAAAATTAAACTAATATATTAGAATATTAATTAAAAAACATATTGACAGATGAACATGTGCATATGCGCAAACACTTATCTACTATTTGTAAATCCCTAAGATTACTTTGAATTGATTCTTTGTATTTTTAACTTGAAAATCATTCAAAATCAAGTTACATTTCGACTCCAAAAACAAAT